ACATGATACTCATTAATATCATTACCCAGAGTTTCGACCTTGTGAAAATCTATTTCAGGAGTACACACTGAATATCTTACACATCTTTATTATTCCTTTCTACAATTTTGATAAAAACATGTCTGTGTATGTTTGCTCTCTTCATCTGGAGGGCAGGAAGAAGAAAAGGTCCACAGGAGATAATGCCCATCATATGCCTGACATAAGGGATGAGGGCTGAGGTAGGCAGTGCCCAGAGAATGTGGGGGGAAGCACAGGGTACAAGGACTAGGTTTTCACTAAGAAGGAGGTATGCTGCTGGAGTGTGGGAGAGGGTATGGTCTCTCCAGGAGCTCCAAAATGTGCTTCCCATGCTTAACTTCTGTTGTCTTCTGAACCCATGGCTTTTAGTTTCTACAGTGTTTGTTCATTCTTTAAATAAGTGCTTAGATGCAGGAAAGTTAGAAACGAGTAGACATTTGAATGATTTTTCACAGTTTACTTATATGATTGGTTCAAAATTACATCCTTTTCTAAGTTAGCATGAATGTATGAGGCAGGCAATAATCACATAGTGACTTTTACTCAAGTTTTCCAGAGTGTTTTAAAAGTGCTCATCTAGTCTGCTGGCATGCTCAGTGGTTGCATGTTGACCTATGAACCAAGAGGTCACGGTTCAATTCCCAGTCAGGGAACATGCCCAGTTGGTGGACTCAATCCCCAGTGTAGGGTGTGCAGGAGGCAGCCTATCAATGATTCTCTCTCATCATTGATGTTTATATTTCTCTCCCCTTCTCTCTTCCTCTCTGAAATCAATAAAAATATATTAAAAAATAAAAGTGCTTATCTAGCTTAGAATATGATTTTTCAAATATTTTCTCCCATTTTGTAGGTTGCCCTTCACTATTGATTGTATCTTTTACTTTTAATCTTAGAAGGAATCATTATTATTTTATTATATTTTAAAACTAATTTTAGTGTGACTTACTTTTTAACCATTTTATTAAGGTATTTAATGTATACAACTCAATGAGTTTGTATGTAAGTATACATTGATTGTATCATTTTATGTACAAGTTTTAAGTTTGATGTAGTCCACTTGCATTTTTATTTTTGCTGCCTATTTCATATATGCCTTTTGATTGCCTTTTGGTGTCACATCCAAGAAATTATTGCCAAATTCAATGTCATTAAGCTTTTCTCCTATATTTTCTTCCGGGAGTTTTATACTTTGGGCTGTTTCATTTAATTTATTTTGAATTAATTTTTGTATATGAACTAAGATAAGGAGCCAGCTTTATTATTTTGCATGTGGGTATCCAGTTTCCCAGCACTATTTGTTGAAGAGACTGTCCTATCCCCATTAAGTGGTCTTTGTTCCCTGGTCAAAGATAATTTGACCATATACATGGGGATTTATTTTTAGGCTCTTTTTTCTGTTCATTGGTCTACATGTCTCTCTTTATGCCAGTACCACACTGCATTGATTAATATACTTTGCAATATTTTCATATCAGGAAGTATGAATCTTCCAACTTTGTTCTTTGGTTTTGACTTTATAAATTCCAAAATAAATATCTTTAATTAAAATTTGGTGAGAATTCACTATATTACAATCATTTGGACAGATGTTCATAGTCAAATGAAAATGGAATGATGAGCAAATAAGGAAGTTATTGGCATTTGAGGTAACTTACTTTCAAAATGCAAATTTCATTTCAATCATAAATTATACAGATTTGTTACTACATTATCCAATTTTACAAAATAATTGCATCTACCTGTCCTCTATATACTTGATTTGTAAACTTATTCTTCAAATCTCTATTTTTGTCAGAAAAGTTGAAAGTTTTCTGTAGAAAAGAAAATTGCTTGAATTCTCACCATCAAGAAATGATCACTGTTAATATTCAATATATAAGTTTTTTCACTACTAATATATACATATAAATGTCTTTAGCTGCATTGGTAAATAGTCTGAAAGAATATATATCAAGGTGTGTTTGTATAAAATGAAATTATATTATTCACACTTCTTTTTTCACTTAATGATACTTTATGAGTCAAAAAATTATGTATGGTAGATCTGCATCATTGTTTCTGAAACTCACCTTTTATTCTTTTTCCCTGGTTCCATCATAGTTGGTCATATCTAATGTTGGATATTGGGATTGTGCCTAATTGGCTTCTTTTTTTTTATAAACAACTAGAGATCCGGTGCATGGATTCGTGCACCTGTGGGGTCTCTTGGCTTGGCCTGTGGAGATCAGGCCACAACCGGCTCTCCAACATCCCCCGAGGGTCCCAGATTGTTAGAGGGTTGTTCTCGGGTGATGCAGCTAGGAATTGGGTTCCCTCCTCTCTGGTTCCAGGTGCATCACCCAAGAACCCCAGCTGCCAAGTCACTGCAGCTCAGCAGCTCCTGCGTTGAGCATCTGCCCCTTGTCGGAGCGCCTGCTCCCCTGGTGGTCATTGTGTGTCATAGCTACCAGTTGGACAGCCAAACGGTTGGACAGTCGCTTAGGCTTTTATATAGATAGATGGATGGGTCGATAGATAGATAGATAGATAGATAGATAGATAGATAGATAGATAGATACTGTGATTACATTCTTATATATATAGTTTTACCCACCTAATTATTTCTTTTGGATACATTTCACAAAATGAAATTATTGGGTAAAGGATGTAAATAAACTATATGAATTCTGATGCTGTATTGCTAAATTGCCCTCCTGCAAGTGGCAATTTCTATTCCCATTGGAAATATATACATGTGCCTATTTACCTAGCCTTACACCAGCACTTTCTCAATTTTCTAAGTAAAAATGGTGTATTTTCATTGCAATTTATAGTTACTTGAATAATAATGAGGTTAAACATTTTACTGTTAAATTAAAATTAATGACATTCTTTTTAATTTTAATTATGAAAATTAAAAATTATGAAATGTTATTCTTTTGGGAGTTAATGTTCTTTACCTGTTTTTTCCTTTCACTTAATGATTTTTAAGTTTAATGTTACAGACTTAAGTTATAGAAAATGCTGTGATCAATTTTCTTTTGCCCATTAACTAGGTTAATGATACTTTATTTTTGCTCTTCAGTTTAATATCGTGTGCGTGTGTGTGTGTGTTTTCAAAGCTGTTAATCTCTTTCTGGCTCCTGGGTCATTTTCCATTTATATTAATACTAGAGGCCCGGTGCACAAAAATTTGTGCACTCAGGGGGGACGGGGTCCCTCAGCCTGGCCTGTGCCCTCTTGCAGTCTGGGACCCCTCGGGAGATAACGACCTGCTGGCTTAGGCCTGCTCCCGGGTGGCAGAGGGCAGGCCTAATCCCTAGGTGCAGCCCCTGGTTGGGCTCAGAGCAGGGCCGATTGGGGAGTTGGGGCACCACCCCCTGTCACAATCAAGGCAGGGTCGATGGGGAGGTTGCGGCTCCACCCTCTATCACACACAGAGCAGGGCCAATCAGGGGGTTGGGGCATCACCACTGTCACACTCAGGGCAGGGCTGATGGGGAGGTTATGGCTCTACCCCATCACACACGGAGTAGGGCCCCTGGGGTGGGGGGTTGGGGCACTGCCCTCTATCACCCACAGAGCAGGGCCGATCAGGGGGTTGGGGCGCTTTCCCCTGTCAGGAACAGAGCAGGGCCGATAGGGAGGTTGTGGCCCCACCCCCTGTCACACACAGAGCCACAGGGCGATCAGGGGGGTTGGGCGCTGCCACCTGTCACGCTGAT